TGGGTTATTCACTGTTAGTTCGCCAGTTTGCCTCTCAACAGACTGCGACAGTTGGGTACTTCGACTACCTTTGCTGTAACAAGGTTTACTAGACTAGCTTTTTCTTTTATTTCTTACAGGGGAAAAAGTATACCCGTGGAATATATTATTTGGCAAATGACATAGTCTTTTAAGCTTACAATCACTTTACATTCGAAGGGCAACAATGGAACAAATGAAGGAAAATTACAAGGTATGTAAAGACTCTTCCTGGAATTTAGCATTGCATACGTGTCTTTCGAGGTTTTAGGCTAGGTCATGAATGATGAAGTTCAGTCATTTCACGGCTTTTCTGTTTTGCTGTTTATCACCAGCTGTGCAATCATGATGCGGTTGTTCAGGGAAAAAAATTTGGGGATATTCTCGACGTAGAAGTTTGATTATATGTGGCGCGGCAGTTGTTCAGCATTTATATAGAGATGGGCCATTTTACTGGTTTAGTTTTTCAAAACGAATCTCTTCATTTTCTTCGTTTAAAAACCTCAGTCGGAAGTAGACTGTCATTGATCGGAACCATGCCTGTAAATTTGAGTGCTTTGAAAAGTTTGTAAAAATATCTCTCTATTACAGTAAGTTACATTCAGTATTTGTAATTCAGTTTTGGTTCTTCTTCTATTTCTTCTTTAGAAAGTCTTATAGCCAAAGAGCCTTGATAACTGTGACAAGAGAAAGTTTGTTTACTTGAGGATTCCCAAATTGCAGTTTATATATTCCATATCCTGGTCCCTTAAACTGTGCGAAATCTACAGTGGGCATCCAAGGATAAACAAATTCTGGACTCCAGTCGTCCATTTCGTTAGTATCCCAATTTATGCTATCTTCATCTTTACTGTAGTATACAGCCATTGAGTAGTTTCTTTCAGCATACCTAAAGTTTAGTATGTTTCTCTGGTGCTTAATAAGGTTTTGCTTATAATGCCACTTTGAGTTACGGTACCTATTTAAAGTGAAAAGTATTCTGCCTTCATAGGGATACACTTTGTAGGTAATTATTTTTGTTTGTCCAGCGCCCAAAACGACACTGTCGAGGTCTGTGTGTTTTGGAGAGCTCTCGCTCGGTTGCCAATACAGGGTTTTAGGGATTTCATTTGTCGGTATGATAAGTCTATCTCTGAAATAAACAATAGACTAAGATTATTTAAACAGAGTGCACTGTTTTGGAAAGTAAGTAATAAGAAGTGTTTAGTTGATAATTCTTTTGTTTAGTTTTACACAAAAGTATTCTTTGTGTAAAATTTATTGTTTTAAATATCAGTCTTAAGATTTAATTAAGTTAGAGGGAAAGATGAGCTTTATAAAGACAATTTAATGCAACCTGCACATGGGGTCACCGTTGCAGTCGATTAGATCACCTCCCCAATGCTTTGGAACGCATTTCAGGTCGCAAAACTGAAATGTAAATTTGCCTTGTTTTTCCAGGAACAGATACAGATGTCTAGATGGCCAATTAGTTTAAAATAATTCTTCTTGCTAAGGACGTATAGGATTTTACGGAAAACTGTTTATCTTTTCGATTAAAAGCTAGTTGTTTTGCCGTTTTTGAATCTATTTTCAAAAGATTACCTTTTCTAGGTCTTTAATGTAGTTACTTTTTGATAGAATTCGGACTTTATTGCGAGTTCTTTCTGGAAGCAGTGGTCCTATTGCCTTCCAGAGAACCCAAATGAACTTTGGGGCATTGACAATGAACATCGTATCAATCCATTCTGGGTAATTTGTATATACTAATGACCAAAGAATTTTATAAGGGCCTGCAAAATGACGCGTTATAAATTGTCCTGAGATGATATATAATAATTTGAGATCCGACTGCTTTTTGATTATTGGCAAAAGTCAAACCATACCAGTTACTACGCTGATTAATTTTGGATCTAGTTTGAGACCTTCGAGGTCCAGGATGTAAATTACTGAGCACTGAAAAATAAACGATAGCTAAAACTTATTGGGATCAATAGCTCTTTTTTGCTTGCTGTTTTATATTATTTGGCTTTCATTGGGCAGTTTCTGAGGATAAAATTGCTTCTACCTGCGTTTTGTTGATTGCCTCCATTTTGTTGATCTCTCTGAGCATTTTTTCTTGAAAACGCATTCGTTGAGCCAAGAAGACATTCATTTGGATGGATTTCAGAATTCCTTGTAAGTCTATTCGTCCAGCACATTCTACTACCAGCAGATGATTTCCTTTTCCAGTTTTACCTGAATAGTTTGTTTTGGCATGTTTGCTGATTAGACCGAAATTACTGTGAAAGTTTACTTGGAAGCATTCAAAAGTACAGTGCTTTTATTCCATCTTCAGTCAAACAAAGATTGTTTTTTGAATGCGTTCAGACAAATATTTCATTTCTATTTTAGCATTAGTCGTGAGGATCACAAATTACCCGTCTAAAGGGCATTAAGGTGAAGACGTTTTGAAAATTACGAGAAGAAAGGAAGTTTCAAGTATTCAAACTGTTCTTCCAACACTTTTAATGGTATTGTGTTTCAAGGGCGAACATTTTTTTTGTTTGTCAATAGTAATCATTTAAGAATTAAATTTGGAGTTATCTGCCAAGTTTATGACGCAATAAAATTGGTTCTTTTCAAACACTTAATTTTTAATTTTTTTTCCACTTTTAGACGTTTCACTTCTTAAAAATCTTTTTTTTGGTTGCTGCAATATTTACGTCAGAAATTGAAATTCAATTTTCTTTGAGCCAAAAAGAATTTTTTTCTTACTAATTATTCTCAAATAATCTTTTTTCTTTTTAATTTTGTTTTTTATTGAGTAAAAAAAACAAGGAGAATAAAATTTGCGTAAGCTAAAAAGTGAACAAAATCTTATGTAGTGTTTTGTTTGTACAATTTGTCTAAATGTAGCCGTGACGTTTCTGAAAACGATTCAGATTCTGGTTGGACTATCTTTGCAGCTATCATTGTATTTTAAGTATTGTTCGGTCTACTATGTTATATGATTGGCAAAAGTTGAAAGGCTTATTAGACGCTGATAAAATTAGCATTTTAAAACTAAGAAAAGAGGACGGAGAAACAAACTGGATCTAAGTTAGGGATGAGGGGAAAGTTGCTGAAAGTAGTTGTAATTACCATTGTTTGTTTGTGAGGATATTTTATGAATGCAAATTTCTAAAACTTTAAAAAAGTTGCAAGCTAAAGTGTTTTTCCATTAACATTTTCTGAAGTGTTGTTACGAGAAGAAAAAAATTTTTGTGCTACCGAAACATTTGTGGGCAGAGCCATAAAAGTTTTCTAAACAAATGGTTTGAAAATACTGGGTGATGATGACGGACGAAAAAAAGGAAGGAGATGAAATTTTGTAGTGTTTTCCGACTCCTGAAACCTAAAAAAAAAGATCATTGCAGGACACAGTCATATATTTAACACCATCCGTTGACCACAGTTGGCATGGTGATAGATTGAATGTGATGAAAAACTGACGACAAATTATTCTCAATAATCAATTATCAGTTTTTTTTTTTGAACTTTTTCAATGTTTTATGTAAGATTTATAAATTTTAAGGGGAATTTTATTTCTTTTAGGAACAATTCGTTGTCGAAATTTTCTGATTTTTTACTGCTTAATCAGGAGTTTTTTGCTGATACAGTTTTTTTTTTTCAACTGTTGGTGATTAATGAAACTTTAACTTAGATGAATACTTTGAGTGTTTATGCAGAGGTAAAGGTGACTAGAAGTTGAACTGAAGCTGAATCCTCATAAAATTCTAGTTTTGAAGAGAAAAGCCAGTTGAAAAAATAATTAGACGAAAACTGGTCATCAGATGAGGAGTGTTCAGCTGTGCAGAGTAATTATTTGGATTATTTGATGGCAAATCTATAAAAACGGAATGTGAAGATAAAGTAAATTTATTTGAGCACAAAGTTTTGGGGTAAGATTTGTACGATGCTAACAAGTTGAAAAAAAAAAGTTATTCTATTTTTTTCTCTTTTTGTTGATAGGTTTTCATCTGACGTCGGTTGTTGGCCGAATATGGCCTAATCTACTCATTTGCTTTTTGCCTCTAATTTTTTCTTTTTTGATTGGTGTTTACCTTCTCCTAAATGAGTAGTAGGTGTCAGATTTAAAACGGTAATGACAGCTAGAATTTAAGAAATTTTCTTTCTTTTTACTTTTCTTCTTTAGCAGTCAATTAATAAAGTTTGTTTTCAAAGTTCTTCAATAAAGTGCTAGGCTAAAGAACAAAGGAGACGGAAAAAAGTGTAAGTCAAAGTATTGTATGGTTTCTTTGATCAGTATCTTACGTTGTTGTTGTCTCAAAAAGAAGAAAAAGGAAAGGAACAGGTATTAAAAAAAGCAGTCATTTTGTTGGTCTTTAGACTATGTCAAGTTTCCGCCATCTTTTACTTTTGTTTGGAAAATGTGGTAGCCGAAATGGCTTCTGGAGGAAATTTCTGAAAACATCTCTGATTGTCAGCCACGTTTCAACGATTGGGATGATGATGTTGACGCCAATGAAAATGGTAATGAAGCCGGCAAAAACAGCCACAAATTCCTGTCCTTTTTTTTATGTTTGAAATTTGAGGAGGAAGAGGTTTTTTTCAATTTTTATTTCAGTAATGTTGTTTTTCAAAATGTACTTTTCACTAATTAATTGATAATGGTAAATTTTTTTTTGGTGTCGATGACCACTTTTTTTTGATGTTGATTAGTAACCAGAAAGAGAGAAGAAAAGTGCTGGGAAATGATAATAGGAGTAAAAGAAAAAAAATTTTGAAAGGAAATGAAAAGAATTTAGTGATTTTACTGTTTTACGAGATTAAACTTAAAATTTCTGTTCTTTTTTCTTTCGTATTTGAGTGAAAAACCATAAACTCGTTCACTGTCACAGACGAATTGTTATCGCCCTGTTGCAGCACAATACCAACAATTTAATGTTTATGGCTGTTGAACAGGGGAGGGTGTTTTGCTCTTCTTAATTTTTTTGTTTTATGAAGATATATGTTACGAGAGTTTACCAAAAAGAAAAGATTTAGGAGAAAAGGTGGTAATAGTAACTACAATTATAAATAAGTATGAAAATTTGCTCGACAGCCAACTAACCGACTAAGCCTAGTGGAAAGTATTGTTTCAGTGTTTTATCTTCGATCAGTTCATCAATATGATCAAGATCATAAAACCTCCTGAACTTTAGATGCCTACGAAATTCTTCAAGTGCAACATCCATATCAAAATCGAAACCCTGTAAAGAAAAAAGAAAACAGATGAGAAATAGTTGGTCTTACGTAAACATATACGTTTAAATTATCTATTTTTGTTTATTTAGTTTCAAGTTTTTTTTCATTTTTTTGCTTTTGTAAAAAAGTGCTTCGTTTGCGTTTCACAGAGTAGAAAAAAACTGAAGAAGATAGGCATAAGAAATAAAATTTAATTTCATGGCTGAAATAAGGAAAAAATGCATGGTAATTCAATGTCAAGTTATAGCATTTTTTTTTTGTTGTCGTTTTTTTTAGTTCTATTTTGATAAATTAGAAATGTTTGGAATAATACGTAAAGATTGTGGTAAACAAAAGAAGCTGAGATGGAGAAGAAAAGAATTTGAGACTAAACGTTTAATTAAATTAATAAGAAAAAAATTTACTTGAGCCCATCGAAGCAAATTGAAGTCTGTATTGTAGGTTCCATAATCCAAGTCCTGAGTCTGAAAATCAAAAAAAATTTTAAAAATTTTTGTTTATATTTCACATTCTCTTTTAAGTTTCTGGAAACTAAAAGCTTTTTAAATTTTTTCAAACTAAATTTTATAAATGTAGGGAAAAAATTTTTTTGTTCTGATCGAATATGCTTTTGATGGTATTTTGGATGGGCAATAAACCTGTGTTTATTTAGTTATTATATTTGACTGTATATAGGCCACTGATGGTAAACAGCAGTAAATCATCAATGTTTATAAAGCAGTAATAAATTATTCGTTTTTTTTTTTTTTTTTTTTTTTTTTTTT